TATAGTGGAATGTAAAGTAGAAAGGAACGTACTATTTTTAATAGGGTGATTAGAGGTGTCCACCGTGCGAGTCGTGCGAGCTGGGTTAGGGTTAGGTGGGTCGCGGGTTGGGGTTTCATGACACACGGCACGACACACGTAGGGTAGGGTGGGCCGGGTCGTGGGTTGGGTCGGAGAAGTTGGACACACCAGGGTTAGGTTCGTGGGTTAGACGAGTCGTGGGTGGGTCGAGCTGGGTTTGTGGGTTAGACGGATCGTGGGTGGGTCGAGCTGGGTTTGTGGGTTAGACGGGTCATGGGTGGGTCGAGCTAGGTTCGTGGGTTAGACGGGTCAAGGTGGGTTAGTGAGTTAGGGTGGGTCGAAGGGTGGGTTAGTGGGTTAGGGTCGGGTGGGTTTGTGGGTTAGGTGGGTTAGGGTCGGGTGGGTTAGTGGGTTAGGGTCGGGTGGGTTTGTGGGTTAGGTGGGTTAGGGTCGGGTGGGTTTGTGGGTTAGGGTCGGGTGGGTTCGTGGGTTAGGGTCGGGTGGGTTGTGTGGTGTTTTAATTTTTACAAAATTAACAATTTGATGGCTTGCTCTTAATTAAGATGCCTACGTATCCTTATATTATAAAATAAGGAATCAAAGCCAGCGTAGTTCTTATATTGTACTTCTTTTGAAATTTGGGGGGGGGGGGCTTGGACCTATCTTTAGAAAACTAAAATTTAATTTTGCAATTAAATTGTAATTTTCGAAAAATAAGTTGCCTACGTATCCCGAAAGAATCAAAGCCCACGTAGTTCTTAGCGTACCTGATTTAGACTTTTCTAGCCACCCATGTTTGTTGCATCATCATCCCCGGAAGCTGCATCATCCGTTGACGACTCCAATATCATCACAGGATCATCTTCATCGTCTTCGTCTTCCTTTAAACCTTGAGTTCTTCTTTCAGCTTGATCCCAATCTTTCTTACAAACACAAATTTGAATGCTTTCCGGAGTTAAGCGAGATCTTTTTTCATCTAACACTCTTCTACCTGCACTAAAAGCAGACTCGGAAGCAACAGATGAAGCGGGAACTGCAAGTATATCTTTTGCAATTCTCGCCAATATAGGAAAACTTTTTTTATGTTCTTGCCACCATTTTATAATTTGAAAGTTGTTGTTGGTCTCATGTTGATATGACAAATAATCATTAATAGCAAGTGTTGAAGAAGATGATGATGAGAATGATGTAGATGCTTTGTGTTTTTTTTTCATAACTTTATCAAGAAAACCAAATCTAGAATCGGAAGTGCTAGTAGTAGTTGGTGTTGCCAAATCAAAACCATAAATAGATGCATAATGATCATAAAGGTCTCCCAAAACAGATTTGCATTTGTTAATATATTCACTAACATCATAATCGATACTTAAACTTGTATAATAAAATTCTAAAAGATTTTCCAAACCTTCAGCTTTGACACCGGGGTCAAGAATAGCAGCAATTCCATAAATGATTGGAAATTCACTAAAATAAGTATGCCACTTACGTTTCATGCTATCAAGAACGGGACGAAGTCCATCAATCTTCATATGCTCTTCGATGGTGTGAACAACTTTAACACACTCAATTATGACTAAATGAACGTTAGGCTCATAAATATAAGAGAAAATATGAGTTGCACTATCAAAAGCATTTAAAACATCACGAACAAAAGAAGCATTAGTCCAATGACTTTCGGTTATTAACTCAGTAGGATCAACACGAGTCTCATTGTAAAGTTGGGTCAAAATATCACGATACTTTATAGCATCACTCAACAACTTGAAAGTAGAATTCCAACGGGTAGGGGTATCAATAGACCATTGTCTTTTCTTAAGACCTCTCTCTTTACACATAGCTATGTACTTTCTTCTAACTGACTGAGTAATCCTAATCCATTTTATAACTGTTCTAATTGGGTTTAGCAATGGTTGCAACTCAGCGAGACCCTCTTGAACAGACAAATTCAAAATATGAGCACAACATCTAACATGCAAGAGACTACCACCCAACAACAAATTCAACTCGGAGTCATTTTTCAAATAGTCAATACACTTTGTGTTTGCAGTTGCATTATCAAGAGACAAAGAAAAAACTTTATTATTCAAGTGAAATTCTTTTAAACAATCCAAAATACGAACTTTGATGTTAAAACCGGTATGCCTTTCTTCCATAGCTTGAAAACATAGTATACGTTTTTGAATAAACCAATCATCATCCACCCAATGAGCAGTAATGCAAAGAAAAGGTTCGCCAAAACTAGAAGTCCATGTATCACTTGTAAAACTAACACGACCATCAAAAGTACGAAATAATTCAATCAAACCACTCCTATACTTATAATAAGAAGTTTGTGTATAACGTCTTAGGGTATTTCGGGGGACACGAGTAAATGCAGGTTGTAATGCAACTTTATTAAAATGCTCAACGTTTGCATTTTCACCGTAACTAAAAGGGTATTCATTAGCAATAACTAAAGTACTCATTTCATCAATCATTCTATCTTTATTATAAATGAAAGGTGTACCTCCGCCGGGTTGGTTCATGTATCCACCCAATTGTGTTTGGACGCCACCCCCCGAAGGACGGGGGCCATTTTCGAACAAGTCGTGTTTATTTTGCAAATGCCGACTCAAGGTTCCGGTTCCATCTCCCGTTTTCCAATTATATGACTTGACATTTGCACCTAGCGCCTTGCAAACTAGGCATGTACACGTGAACCTCTTTGGTTGACCAGGTTGCCATCCCGGGGGTGTGACCTCAACTCGTTCAAAATGTTTCCACACCCAAGAAAAATGTGCTCGACCTCTACTTTCACCGCCACCACCTTTCATAAATCAAATTATTAAAATTAATTTTTAAATGCTATTCATGAAAATAAGCTTTTAAATTTTAAATATTTTAATTATACTTATTTAAACGCATTTTTCATGGTAATTAACTAATTGTAAATCATAGAAAATTGGAAACTAAACTAACTTTATAATCATTAATAATAGTTTTTTTAAATATTCATAACAATAAAAATTTAATTAGAAATTACCTTGAGATGAAGGTTGAGATGTTGGTTGCGATGGAGGTGGCATAGTTGAACTTGATGATTGGTGGGACTCGTGGGAGAAATGTTGTGGTGGAGACGTTTGAATATTTTGCCTATCTCCTAAACCATAATCTCCATATTCATTGACAAATTGGTTTAAATTTTCCGTATTAATTTCATACGAAAAATTTGCACCACCACTCCTTTGGCTACCACTTCGACCACCACTTTGACTCCTTCCCATTCCTCCTCTTGAGCTCATTTTTTTTTTTGTATGATTACTAATTATAATATGGAGAAGAACTTTTTTTTTTTAGAATCTTAAGAATACTAATAATAATATTAAGGAGATTTTTTTTAACAAAAATATAACTCTATATAACACTTGAGAATTTGAGAATAATAAGAATTTTTAAGTAAGAGAGAAAGAAAGCTTGAATTTGTGTGGAAATTTGAGTGAAATGGAATTGGTATTTATAGGAAAAATAGAATGGATGATCATACACTTAAAAAACTAGCCGTTAGATACAAAAAACTAGCCGTTAGATACAAAAAACTAGCCGTTTTTTTTTTAAAATGGATGTTAGGCCGTGCGGGCCGTGCGGGTCGTGCGAATTGTGCGGGCTGTGCGGGCCGTGCGGGCCGTGCGGGTCGTGCGAATTGTGCGGGCTGTGCGGGCCGTGCGGGTTGTGCGGGCCGTGCGGGTTGTGCCGGCCGTGCGGGTTGGGTGGGTCATGCGTGTGGGTTGGGTGGGTCATGCGTGCGGGTTAGGTGGGTTGGCTCGTGCGGGTTGGGTGGGTCATTCGTGCGGGTGGGCCGTGCGGGCTGGGTTGTGCCAGGTGGGTCGGGTTAGGTGGGTTCACGGGCTAGGTGTGTCGAATTAAATGAGTCAAAACGGGTTGTGCGATTTGGGTCGAATCAAACGGGTTAAACTGAGCTGGGTTGAAATGGGTTGTGTCGAAAATTTTGGACCCACGACACAACCCGGATTAAATCCGAGCTGTGCCGGGCTGTGCCGGATTGAAACCGGGTCGGACCCACGTGACCCACCAGCCGTGCGAGTTAGGGTGGGCTGGGTCCAACCCGGCCCACTGGCCACCTCTAAGGGTGATGGGTCTATGAACAATTAACTTCCCTTAATTAAAAAAAACACTAATCTTTCATAAAATAATAAAAAAAACACTAATTTTGGGTTTAACATCTTGTATTTACATTTTTAAAACGTGTTGAAGTGACACCTTTGTAAGTTAGAGAACACTTTTTTCACACAATTTTTTTTAAATAATAGTTAAACTTAAATCTACACTTAATTTGAAAAAAGTTAGTTTATTATTTATTTATTTATTTATTTTGTAAAGGCATGATCAATTTTCATGTATAAAGTTAGTTTCAAAATTAAGGTATTTGTAAAGGCATGATCAATTTTTATGTATAAAGTTAGTTCAAAAATTAAGGTGTAAATGCACGATTCTTTTATAGGAAGTTGACACGTGTCCTTCTAACTTCCTGTTTTAAAATAATAGTATAGATGTGTTTAGGTTAACCCCGCTTGAGTTTGTAAATTAGGCTAATTTGGGTGTTTGGTTTATACAATGTTATAAGTTTGGAATCAGAAATGAGAATCCAGTGGCATGGAGTGGAAACTTAATCCTTAATAGGGTCAGTCACTTAGTCTATCTTGTGCTTGGTTGTATTCAAAATAAGCATTTTTCTTTATCTACTTGAATACATGGTATGAGCTATACCTCGGTACCTCCCCTTTGGATTTTCGTAAAATTGAATGGTATATGGTGAATTTGAAAATTATTGGTGGTATTTGGTGAATTAAGTTAAAACTCGGGGGTATTTGGTGAAAAAACTGAAAAAAATATATTCATGTGAGATCTTGATATACTCATTTCGAAATATATTTACATAAGATAAGTTTTTTTATAACGTTTACTACAACACAAGTTAAGATATTTAAATTATAAAATGTGCACTGACAAAGCGTGAAATTCTCCAACATTACGATTAACAAAACTTGAGATTATTGTAATAACTAAGTGCAAATCGAGTCAACTATATATTGGCATTTTTTTTAACAAACTATATATTGACACTTAAAAACACCATAAACCCAAAGTTGTTTTTTTTTCGAGGCCGCCTCAGTCAATCAGGCTAATTGACGAAATATTGTAAACCAGCCCTTTTTGTGAACCAGCTTTGCAATATTAAAAAAAAAAAAAAAAAAAAAAACCTAGATCTAGCATCATATTTCACGAATGACAAACCACCACCATTTCGTCTACCCCTGTCATCTCGTCGGTCATCTGTCAACGCGTCCCTCTTCTCTTCCCTTCTTCCTCCTTCCTCAACAACCACTCCAACGCCGTTGTGCGACGGTAACAAAAAGACACTCTAGTAGCAAAAGGGGGTAAATTAGGGCCATATCAATCCCTTAGGAGTAGCATCTTTGCAATGAGCTGCAATGGAGGAGGAAGGGAGGAAGAAAGGGAAAAGTACAAACTTACCCCCAAATAAATAAAAAAAAATGACTTTTATATCCCCTGATTTACCAATTGGCTGATGAACATGTATTTTCACTTTTTCCACTTGAACAAATGTACAATAGATCATTGAATTTCTCTTGAAAAAGACTCTATCTTGGAACATCATTTTGGCTTCCAATTTAAGGGTAAGAGACTCAAATAGCAACCATTACTAATTTGCTACTAATTGCGAGTAATTCTGAAACCAACATCTGAAGCAAAGAGAACAGTTTTTTGGAGAGAAGAGAAAATGGAGCAGCAAATTGACAACGAAGCTATTAAGAAGAGACCTGCTATCTTGGTTATCGGATCTCCCGGCGTCGGAAAGCGCACCATTCTCTCCAGTATTTCATCTTTCTCCTTCATTTCTGATTGTATTTTTATTAATTTGATCAGCTCAATTACAAGTTTCTTTTTTTGAAGAAATTATAATTGTTTTTGATCAATTGATGAATATCTTCGTGCTAAAATGTTCAAATTTGCAAGATTTTAGGTTATACTTATCATAATCGATCGATTTGAGGGGTTTATGTATTTTTTGAATTGGACGAATTTTAGGTTGGGTAGGTGGTAAATTGTGTTCATATTGTGAATTTGTGATGTGGGTGAATAAATTGATAACCTGGAAATCTGAAATTTTCATGTTGGGTTATTGATGAATGAAGTTTTAGCAATTAGCGGACTTCAAAGCCAGCTATTATGATTGCAAATGAGTTTAAGTTTATCTGTAATGCGGAGTATGAATTAACCTAATTTGATACTTCTATGATTAAGCAAGATTATTTTTTACTATTTCCTTGTGTCATGGAGTAGTAATTTAACTCAGCCTCGTTTCGAGTGTGTGTTCTAGCAGCATGCTAGCATATGCATCAAGTTCTTGTATCCAAGTAGTCTTCTTGCAAGGAGTTCGGGAAAGTTTCATTATATATGTAAGAGATGGTCAATTTTTTGGTTATATTCAATTTTTAAAGGGCTGTTTTTGTAGAAGAGTATCTACTTACTGTTCTGTGAAAGCTTTTCCATAGCATTGCAACATTTCTTATAGACTGTTGTTGCATTTTCATTACACTGTAATATGTAGGTAAAGTCGTTAATGTGTATTGATATATTGAGTGCAGATATAAGACTAATAAGAAACTACTCCGTAATGTTTACAATTTATACCTGGTAAAACAAGTTAAAGGTTCAAAATGTATTTTTTTCAATATAATTCTTGAATTACAATGCTAAAGTGGTGCCTTTTCATATATATTCAATATTTCAATTCATGGTGTTGTGATAGCTGCTAAACTCGTGAGATCCTGTTTTTGATATTGTGACTGTTACTAGTCACAGTAGTGATTTTTAATTCTATTGTTTTTTTTTTTTTTTTTTTTTTTTTCCAGCTCGATGCTCTTCTAGATGTGTATACTAATACCTGAGTGATTGACAGTGGTCTATGCTTTTTTATGTGCTATTTTCAGAAGATGCTTAACTCATCTGAATGTTGTTATTGGTATATAACTCAAGTACACAACCTTTTGTGAAGAACTATCTATCGTTTTGTAATAATTGTGGTATACTCCTGTTTTGTGATGAAGTATTGAATTTTTAGTTGTTGATTACTTGATTATGAAATGACATTATTCTATTATTCTTTGTGAGTAAATGGCGTGCCATGTCTGTAGGCATTTTCAGTTTTTTACTATTTTTTTTTCTTACTTCAGGACTATTGTCAGTGGATTATGAAGATGCTTTCGATACATCATCTGAAGTACTTATACAAGGGTATGCTGATAGAATACCATAACTCAGCATGTGGATAAAAATGTGCTATTATGAATATTTTTCCCACTCTTAGATTCTTACATGAACATCTTTGGCATCTTTTATTTATCAAATATTATGTAAATGTTTATATAATTTTTCATGTCGAACAGGTGGACTATTGACACAAAATATTATTCGGCTGATGTTGCTGTATGGATGGCTCACCTTAATGATGATATTCCCCCCAGTTCCCTGCCAGACATTCAGTTTGCTGCCATAATGATGGTTTTTGACATGAGCGAGGCATGCATCACTTACCTCTTTAGTCTTTACCTTTGGTCAATTACACGTATTGAATGTTTCTTAAATTTTTGCCAAAAACTTCATGTGTGGCAGTATGGCACATTTGTGTTTAATTTTTTAACGTTGCTGAAATGACACTGCCTGATTTTACATTTTTCTATTGTCGTTTTGTTGTGCACTTGACAGTTATCTTCTCTTACTGCACTCAAAAAATGGGTCTCTCATACTGATATCCAGAAATCTGATATCCTATTGTGTGTTGGAAACAAAGTGGATCTTGTTCCAGGTCACCCAGCTCATGCTGAATACAAACGACATTTACAGAGGCTCAAGGACCCTTTTGCTAGCTCAGATGTGGATTCATATGAGTATGGAGTTTTTGAATCTGAGGGAAGTAGTCTATTGGGCAATGAAGAGCCATCGTGCGATATTAAGAGATCTTGCTTGGAATGGTGCATGGAGTGTAATATTGAATATGTGGAGGCCTGCGCTTCTAATGCTGAATTTGATAAATGTGAGTATCTCAACCTGTAAATATCAGTGAGTTGATAGCATATAGTATGTGCTCATATTTTCTGTTAGCTTCTTACTAAAAATGGTGGGTGGTTCCATGTATTGTCATTAAAAATTTCAGAAGAACTTAGACGATGGTGATGTTGTTGGTTTGATGTTATTAATATTGATGAAAGAATGTACTCCGTATTATTTAGGATGGAGTTCCTGTACATAACACACGCTTTATTATTCAGGATAAAGGCAAACTAATTAAGTACAAAGTACAATACACTACATTCCCTCAAAAAAAAAAAAGTATTATACACTACAAATATATAAGATGAAGTGACTGTGTTAACATCTTATGTTACTTTAATATATCGAAGTGTATGGAAAGATTAGAGAAGTATGTTTAGAAAAACTTGCTTATAAACTCCCTATTGTATTATCCTCCTTGACTCACTTATGAAGGGAGTGTAAATTAAATCATGCCTAGCTGGCTAAATTCCTAAGACAATGTGTTACCTATAAACCCTCTTTTGTTGTATTCTACTTGACTCGCTTTTGAAGGGACTGCAAATTTGATCATGCCTAGCTTGCTAATTTTCCTTTTTGGTTTCTATTAATATCAATGTGCAGGTACACTGGACACTCCCTTTAGGGTATCTGGTAGTTTTTTTTTTTTTTTTTTTTTTTGGGGGGTTGGGGGGGGGGGGGGGTGGAGGACTGGAGGGTTGGTTTTATAAGTAATAATTCAAAATTTGGAGGCAAACCGTAATAAAATTTAATTTAAGTTAAAAATAAACAAAAAGAAGATGGACAGTCCATGTTGATTGTGAGCAGTTTTGGCCAAGCACGACCCACGGTCCAGAGCACACAGTAACATGTCTGTGCCTAGTGTTTTTAATGCTAAGTTGTGCCGTGCATTTTTCATGCTCAGTTTCCATGCCCGGCTGCTGCTGCCTTTAGTTCTTTACTCCTACTGTGCCCAAAATGCGATCCACGGTCCAGAACACACAATACCATTAAAAATGTGCTTGATTCCCTGGGATTGTTTTCTGATTGAACTCTTCTTTGGTATAGAGAAGCTGGCAGGTTATGTATCTTTTCTGTTTGGGCAAGGAGAAATTATTGCAGAGGAAGTTAAGCTGTCATCCGTTTGTAGGGTTTATTTTTAGGGTGTTAGGAGAGGGGGGGGGGGGCTTGTGGTATCAAATACCAAGACTTTCCTTGTTATGGGCCATGATTATGATATGTGAACTTGCCCAAACAAGATAAAGCAGGGGTGAGATGAGGAAACATAAGTGATTGTTTTATACTCCGTAGTTGGTCTTTGGGAGAATAAAATGGGAATAAGGATAATTTGAAAGAATCTGAACTAAGAGGGTTTGTAATGCTAGTGAACAACTGCTTATAGAAGGAAAGGGGCAAAGTGGTTGGGGTAGTGTTCAAGGAAAACAGAAATTTTAGCAGAAAACATAAAACCTTTTTGAGCCTAGAATTGAGTGGAAGGACTCGATGAATCCCTGCATTAAGATGCATCTTAAGTCTGCATACAATAATTTTTTTTTTTTTAAAAATAAAATAAAATAAAAAATAAAATAAAATTCCATCCTACCATTTAATCCTCCATGAAATGAATTGCAGAAATGTGGAAGCATAGCGTACTCTTAGTGATGTCAGAAAGGCTGAGACCAGCTAACTTGGCAGCTTTTTACTGCGTCATCTGCAAATATGCAGTTAAAAACTATTTTTCTTTGTCAGGTTTATCCATTGATGGTGACTCGCAAGGAGTGGAACGACTCTTTGGTGCACTTTCTGCCCACATGTGGTCTGGAATGGTTTTGAAATCTGGAAACAGAATTCTTGCACCAACTCTACCTGAAAGACAAGGTTTAAATTTCTCTGATTATATCTTTCAGTTGCTTTTGTTTACAGTGTCTTAATAGCTGACAATTTATTTTTTCTTTCCCTACAGATTCATCAGAAGATGAATCTGAGTATGAAGCTGAGTATGAAGTCCTTTCAGGCGGTTCAGCTGAACTATGGGATGATACAGAGGATGGCTGGGTGGCCGCCATCCCACCTAATGCATCTTCTGTTGAATCTGCTGACCTAAAGTCTGTTTCTGAAGCTGAAAGGGCTGAGCCATCAACATCGGCATCTTCTGAATGTAGAGATAATGCTGAGGAAGTAGAATTTAAAGCGGGTGAGGCTTATGATGGTGATAATCTTGACAAGGGTGAACATCTGGAACTTGAGGATTTGGAGCATTTAATGTCAGAAATTGCAAATATGCGCAGCAGCTCAAGGTTGATGCCTGATTTTCAGAGGCGAGAAATGGCTGCCAAGCTGGCCATGCAAATGGCTGCTCTTTTTGGGGATGACAGTGGTGATGAAGGAGTCGAGTGATAATAAGACAAAGAACAAAACTTGTAAACTTCAGCAAAGGAGATGTAGAGGCAAGGCTTTCTCCATGCAAGCACATTATGATGTGTTATCATCTGGAGAGTCGTTAGAAGATTTGCTGTACTGATTTTCTCGCATAGATGAGTAAGTTCTTTGGCTCCCCCCCCCCCCTCTCTGTCTCTCTCTCTTAAGTTATTTATTACAGTATTTTTGAGTAGTGTCCTACAAATGATAATTTTTGAGCTATCATGAAATCTCCGTGCTGTTGGTTGTGTTATTAGTCCATGAGGTTGTGATTTTGCCTGCGTTTTGGCTATTTTGTGTTAGATCCATGGGCTGCTTTTTACTAATTTGGGTTGAATCTTTTTAACTTTTGCAACTGCTTTATCAATATTAATCATCATGCTAGTGTAAATTTATGTACTATGTACTGATAGAATACAATGGCCAAAGTAAATTCTGACTATTAAATTATAAATGTACTCGTATTGTATTATTGTGATTTGTGAATTCGAGAATGTAATAGTACTAGGGTTTAAGAACAAGTTGAATCTGTTTCAAGCCTAATCTCTTAGAATTCAAGAACATTTATCTTACTTCAAGGGTGCATCCAAGGGTGTGTAATTTTTTTTCCCCCCCTTTTGTTCATTTGATCAATTTTGTTAAAAATAAGTAAATAAATAAAACTTGACGAGATAGATTATGAATTAGAACTCGCCTCTGAAAAGCCCCGAAAAGAAAAAAAGAAAGAAAAAAAAACTAGGAAGAAAAAACAGAAAAAAGAAATAATGCTTGAAGCAAAAATCAAGCTTGTGAGCTCTGAGAGTGTGAGACTTATGACCCTTTGTCAGGTGTCAACCCGCTTTCCCCAAATGCCACTCTAAAGCCACTGATCTTTTACTTCAATGTCATCTCAGGTTTTTTTCTCCCCTTTAAACTTAGTACTCAAGCGGAAAACATGACCCAGTCCCGAAGATGCGTATACTAGGGATATGCTGGATTTTGGGCCAGTCTTCGCCTGTTGGCTTCAAGCACCTCTCCTCTAGCTTCTTAGAGCAATTTTCAAGTGTAAGCGTCTTCAAGCTAGAAAGGTTGGTTGTCCACTCTGGTATGGCATTGAGGTCTTCACATCTGCTTACTGTTAGCTGTTCCAAGGAAAAACCTCTAAACTCCCCTGTGATTAATAATATCCACTCCATTTTGTCGACCTGCATATGCTTCAATCTGGGGAATGCCAGTTTTCGCTCAAAGAGATTATTCTGGATGGGTTGTCTTGAATCTGCTTCACTATTTGAAATAATTCTCTTCCATCCCTTTAATTTAGGCATGTTCCGAAGCCAGAGATACTCGAGTGATGGAAATAAGGGAGCATGGTGCTTATACACAATGTCGTTATTACTTTCATTGCTCCCAGCACAAGTTTTCTCAATATACTCAACATTGTCTAAATCTAAAAGATTCAGATATTTAAGATGAGGAAGCCTCCCAAAGGAGCAAAGGTATCTGCAGCCTTCGCACTGGAGTATCCAAATGCTAACAAGATTCGGAAGCCAAAAGTGAAGGCGATCCATCATCCAGCTTGGTAACCTCTCTCCTGCATAACCATATATCAACAGTTCTTTTAAATTAGAATTGGGTTGGAGGCCTTCTATAACTATTTCGTCATGTTTTAGGCTACCACCAATGAACTCTAAATCCAAGCCTAAAAGCTTATCTTTACTCTTCAAGTTTGCTGTCTTAGCTTCCGAAACTGTATCCATTGACCTCCCAATGACACGTATTGTTAACTTTCCCATTAGATTATTCAGGCGATGTAGCTCTGCTAACTCGCCGACACTGTTGGCCTTTGATCCGTTTTCTGAATTCTGCTCCCCTTGTATGAACATGTCTAGTCTTCGAAGATCTGTCAAGTTCCCCAACCCCTTGGGTATATGACTCAATGCATTACAATATCCGACTTTGAGATGTCTCAACTTAACCAACCTACTCATGTTTTTGGGCAACTCTTCAAGTTTGTAGCAGCCAAACAAATCAAGTGACAACAAATTCACAAGCCTTGTGATTGAATTGGGGAGTTTAACCATAGGATTGTATGACAAGTTGAGATAACGCAAGCACTGCAGCTCACCAAGAGATCTTGGCACAATCTTTAACCCCAGCCTATGCAGGTCCAATACCCTCAAAGATTTAAGTCTCAAAATTGATCTATCATTGATTGACAAATTCTTTAGTGTCAATTTACAGTGCCTAGACACTGCCAAAAGGAATGATTGTAGATGCTCAATTCTGAATAGCGAGGAAGGGACTTCCCAAGATTCTGATATTGTACCACCAAAAGACAGATGATGAACTTGTTCATCAAATTCACGCGTGTCTGAATCTGCCATCTTATACCTGAACCCAGAAACAGAGAGCACGAGATCGTGCATCATGTTATGCATTGTCAAACGGACCCCAGTGCCAAAATCAGAGGTTTGTTCTATCTTGAAAAAGCCACAATTTAACAGGTTGAGCATGTATGCACCAGCTACTTCCTCCAAGCTTTGGCTTCTATACTAGGGCTCAACATATCCTAAGGAAATCCAGAGACGAACCATCTGATCTTCATCATATGCAAAACCCTTTGGGAACAAAGAACAATAAGCAACACAAAGTTTTTGCCTTGCATCCAGCTGATCGAAACTAAGTTTAAGTGTCTGCATGACATCACGCCCATAGGAAGAGAAATGTTTAAGTTGATCATCTCTAAAGGTCTTCCATTCCTAAAGTGTTTGTTTACCTGCTAAGAGGCCTCCTATACTCCGTATAACAAGTGGAACATTCATACACATTTTCGCAATCTCCTCTCCTATTGCTTCTACACCCGGATCTTGCCACTGTGTAAATGCTATCTTTTGAAAGAGAAGCCAAGAGTCACGTTCTGTTAAATCCCCTAGCATGTAAGTGTCTCCAAGACTCCAAGGAAGCAGCATCAATAAATGTAGCTTCAATGGTAGTCTTAAGTTCCTGGAGCCTTTTGATGTGGGAATCCAGATCCTTTGCAAACAAGATTTCTTTGTATGCTCCGGAACCTAGTCTTTCCACAATAACTGATACGAGTTCAGCCATTATCACTTCTGCCATCTCACTCTCTCTAGTTTAGTTGTCCAATACAATCGACTATTAGAATGACACACACACACACAAAATCTTAGCCGTTGATCTAACTTTTGCTGGTGGATGAGAAACGATGTTTCTGAATCCTGGTTATAGTTGTGGTTATGAAGTCTTGTAAGACTATAATCGTGTACTAGTCTATGAATCTATCTAGGTGTATTATTGCAGACTTGAATGTTGGAACCTTGCATTCCTCCAAGTGAACAAAAGGGTTGCGTAGCTAGCATGGAAGCTACACAATTGGTTGATGTTAGCATAGCTAGCGGACGCATGTCATCACATTGTATTATGGCATTTTGTTGCCCCGAATTTAATTTTGATATAAATTATTGAACTTTTTATATAATTTATAACACTTTTGAAATATTGATGCAAGTTTTTGGACATTTCATATGTGTAGTAACTTTTTTTGTTTTTCGAGTGGACTCATGGTAAAACACACATACTGTAATATTTTGTGTTTTTATTGTAGTCTTCGTCATTGATTGAATGCAGAATTGCAGACTAATCTAAATCAGGTGTAAAATTAACTTATACGGAGTATTATTTCTAGCTCTTATCCGAACTATTTGACCTTGTTGAACTTAATAGAATTCATAAGCTGTGATTTTAATTAATTCTTCAAGGTAAAAAAAGGAACAAATACAATCATAGTAGCTCCGTAGTAAGCTGAGATGACTATAATGATGTTGTGATTGACACTGGAGTAAATTTATCATCCATATGACATTATTGATTCAATATCATACTCCGTAGTTGCTACAACTTTTCATTCAAAGTCGTATTGTTGAAAATTGTAGCCTAGAGGACAAATTGTCGTTTTAACAATGAGATATTTGATTTACTGTTACATTCAAACATTCAATATATAATAGGTCATGTGTTTTTGTTGAATTATAAGCTACAATAGACTAGAATCTTTATCATATGCCCCGGGGCCCGGGTGCACATAAAATTAGGTATACCTAAGAATTTTTTACTCATTAAAGATTTTAAAAATGAACAAAAATTATTACTCTATCCGTGTATAAATAAATGAAACGTTAACGTTTCCAATAAGTAAAAATTATAACAATTGAATTTTAATAAACTTTTCATTGAGACGATTCCAACAAATACCCATAAAAATAAAATTATATTTATTCTTATGCATAAATCACAAACAATAGTCAAAGTAAATTAGATAAATAGTGTAAAAAGTCAAAGCGTTTCATTTATTTAAACATAGAGGGAGTATGAGTAAATGAGTAGAAAATATCCTTGATTGGCAACTGGATGTATAATAAAATTTTCAACAAAATACTAAAGCATAATGTGAATCCTTATCTGATTGATCTTCAGTGTATCTCACTCCTGCCACATGAATTCACTTATACGAACTATTATGTACGGAGTACGAGTATTATTACTTTTATTTAATACTTTGTATTACAGGACATTTATTCATACCAAACTTCGTATTACATGTATTTTAATTTACATAACATTCATAGTTTGGTAAGAAAATCCTGATTGGCAAAAAACTCTTCTTTTCTCCTTTTATTTATTTATTTATTTATTTATTTATTTATTTATTTTTGTTATTTTTTTTTTATTGTGAGCAATAAACTTTTATTATGAAGCTCGTGTAAAATCAAGAAAATCCTGATTGGCAATAACCTAACAAAACCGGGTCAAAAATAATTTTATAATGGAATTGATACAGTGATACTTCGTACTCATATTATTAGAATGTATAAAAACGAATTGAACAAAAGTTTTTCCCAAAGAAGAATTTCAATTTAGTTAAGTTAAAACAAAGTTGAGTCAATAATGTTACTTTCAATGTTGATCTTCCTTGGTATAAATTTGAATCTTCAAACAAACGATGAACGAAGAATTCAACTTCTGAAGTATTGAACAACGTACATTAGTAAGGGTTTCTAGAATATGAAGTATCCACAACGTTTAGTGTGACTACTCTGACTATAAATACATGAGTACAGAGACTACAGACTATAACTTAGTGTACATATATGTAAATGTAATCTCGTTCAATTAAGTCCTTGAAGCTTCCATAAATCTCACTTTATGTAAATGTATTTTTCTGGTTGTATATTACTCCATACGGGGTAACATAATACAAGTCTTCAAAATCATGATTAAAAGAAATAGTTCAACATCAAGTCATTAATTAATTAATACAAAGTCTCCCTAATTAATTTTATGTAATAGTAAGTATTTGAGCTAAACTTCAAAAAATAAAGAACCCATATTTATACAAGCTTAATTTTACAATTTGGTTTTTGGTTTGGATTGGATCCAATTAGGGTCAATCCGATCCAATCCGATCCGATCTGATTTAAAGTTCGGATCCAATCGGATTAATAATTCGGTTTGGATTGGATTGGATTTCGGTTTTAATCCAAATAATAAAAATTGAGCTTCAGTACAATAATATTGTTTTAACTTTTTCAGTACTAGACATTTAATTCCATGTGAAATTTCAACTAATTTCAAACCAGAGATTCAAAATTGCAAGGAAAGAGAGGGGTGGTAGTGTGGTAATGGACCTACTGGTACATGAAAGATCACTTTCATGTTTCCAATTTCCATTAATTCAAAAGTTCACTAACATTGCCCAGAAATTTCGATGAAGCATCTTAAAAACTCTTATAATCCTTCATCAAGTCCTTGAAGCTTTCATTCACAAACCAATCAGCTTCTAATCACTGCCCTTTCTTATTTCCATTCCCCTGCCTTTACGTGAATTGAACCAAACATTCTCGTAACTTGATTTTTGTTTCCTTTAAACTTCTCCAATAATTTATATCCTTATCATTTTTGCTATCTTTTGATAATACGTACACTTTCATTATTTATTGACCAAGAGTAAAATTTGACCTGTCTACTGACCTATTCTTGTTGATCCTTGACCGTGCAACATAGACCAAGCTTGTGTAATTGTAGCTCAAGCTCACCAGTTCAGGGTTGGAAAAAGTAATCAATTTTAGTGAGCTTGTTCTACATTGTCAATTTATAATGGAATTTCATCCCTAAACAGTTGTGTTTCTTAACTATATATTTCTATTACTACTCGATATGGCCTTGAAAGGAGAAATGGATATAGGATACTTATGGATAAAAAGAGATAATTGAATCATAGACAAACATTAGCACAAGTCTTTTATAATAATTATGCTTATGATCAAAGCTTTTTTCTTAGTAAATAACAAAAAATTGCCCGAAATTTATCATTATAACCTTGACACACATCAAATTCTAGACATGTTGGATACCTTCACGTCATCACCAGTTTTTTGGAAAGCCTAACCCTATTAGGAGATTCATACGGTTCAGCAATGGCAGGCCTTTAGAAATGATCAGCTTGCTAATTTTGCTTCCTATGGGCGTGACATTATGCATACGCTTAAATTTAGCTACGACCAATTGGATGCCAGATTGAAGCTTTGTGTTACTTACTGCATCTTGTTCCCAAAGGCAAATACGTTCAGTTCTGAAAATTTTTTATCTTGAAAACTTAGATGAAGTGGAGTATATGGAGGACAACAGCAGCACCAGTAGCGGAAATGCTAACAACATCGTGGATGAGTTGCCCCCACCTTCCTTATTTCCAAGCCTTGATAGATTCAGAATAAAAGGAATGCCAAAATTGAAGGGATGGTGGAGGATGCTATCAAGGGGGGATCTCCAGGTTCAACAACAGCATCAACATCTTGTTAAGTGGAAAGCATATTAATAGAAAACTGTAGAAAGCTTAAGGCAATACCAGAATGGATTGACAGCCTCACCTCCCTAAACTCACTTGATTTAACAAATTGCCCAAGATTGGAATCACTGCCGCAGCAAATAGCAAACCTCCCAAACTTGAACACACTTGCAATTGAAAGATGCCCCTAATTCAACATATTCCTAATTTATGGATAAGTAAATAGTTTTCATTGTAATAGCTTCCCAGCTCAGCTTTCAATTATTTTCTAATTTTCTTTTCTACCCCAACCCCCTTATTCCTTGTGTTTTTCTGATTAGGAATTCTTGTTACCATGTAAGATAATTATCAAATATAGAAATTAATTGTAATGTTTTTTTCATACTTCAAATCTTAATTTCACTTTTTTAACAAACAAGTGCAATTTGTACACATAAATGGACACAAAAACAGTGATTTAAAGACCAAACTGAGTGAGGTTGCAAGTGGGACAAATTTACCAATAATAGTATAGAAGGGCACCCATTTTTAATTATTAGAAGCAATGTTCTAGGAAAAGAAGAGTATGATCAGTGTTTTAGCCTTTTGGCTTTTGTACACTTACGAATACATTAAAAAAACAGGGTCTTATAGAGTATTTACCGTTGGCAAATATTATATTAAGCAATCAGTTTCTCCCTTATACCCAATGACTCAAATGAGCTTCTCCCTATTTCTATATAACCTATTACGAAAATATGACTGACCACTTTGGTATCCGACTAACTACTTGAGGCTAAAATTTATTCATACTTTGGGTTAGCCTCGTGCGATGCATAGCTTTAATAATAAAAATTTACTTATAAGCGGTAATATAAAGTTTTAAGCAAAACATAATAAATCGTGATCCCTCTCATTAGATTAATTGAGCTAAAATGATGGACATGATGTTAAATATGCTAATTAACTTTATGGCTATAATAAATTAATAAAAATATTACCATTCGTATTTGATTTATTGTAAGAAAATTGAAAAATTAATAAAAAGTGGAAAATCCAAACTCTACAATCACTATTAAAATGCATGGGATTGTTTTTACAAAAATTTGTGTATGTGGGGAAAATAATGTGAAAAAGACTTTACGCCATAGGAATAGATTGTGTATTTAGTCAATTTAGTCATAAAAGCTTTTAGAAAAATATATAATTAATCAAAGAAAAAAAAGAATAATGTCAATTATGGTTTTGGAGGGAGATTTTTTTT